AATAGAATGACTTCTTTATAGAATGTTGTTGTTGTTAAGTGCCGTTGAGTCAGTTCCAACCCATAGCAACCCTGTACAGGGTTTCCGAGGGTGTGAATCTTTACAGGAGTAGAAAGCCTCATCTTTCTCCCGCGAAGCGGCTGGTATTTTCAAACCGCTGACCTTAAGGTTCGCAGCCCAATTCGTAACCACTATGCTAAAGTTGATATTTAACATCTAACTTAACAAGTTAATGTAGATTCCCTTATACTGCTGATGGAAATATAAAACAATTTGGAAAACTTTTCACAGTTGCTAAAAAAAAAAATAAATAAACAGGTATTCCACTCCAAGGTATTTCCTAGAGAAATGAAAAGTGTATGGCTATACAAAGATATACACAGCAGTGTTCATAACATCTTTATTTATAATCACCCAAACTGGAAATACCTTGAAATACTCTATTACCAAACATCTTCCCAAACATTTGTTAACAGAGGCAGGGTTAAACATAATGTGGGAGTACCCATTTAATGGAATACTACCACAGCCTTCAAGGAGCCTACAAGTAGTAATCAATAAAGTGCCATCAAGTCCGTTATGACTTATAGCAACCCTGTATTGGGTTTCCAAAGAGCAGCTGGTGGGTTTGAACCACCAACCTTGTACTTCATAGTCCAGTGCTGATCCTACAGCACCCACAGCAGACATCCAGATTTTTAAAGCAGTTTTATTGAAGCACCCTCGAATAACTGGTGTGACCAATAGCACATGTCTAACATGTACCGTTTGATCAGCTGTGACATATGGAGACGTCCTGGAAAGTACCACCATCATCAAGACAATGAACATATCAACCCCAGAAGTGTCTTCAGGCGTTTCGCTAATCCTCCCATCTTGCCTCTCCTTGAGTCAAGCAACCATTGATTGGCTTTTGATCACTATAGATTACACTGCATTTTCTAGAATTTTATATAAATGAGATAATACACTGTGTACTCTCTTTTGTCTAATTTGTTTCACTGAATTATTTTGAGATTCAGTCATGTTGTTGTGTGTACCAATAAGCCATTCCTTTTCATTGTTGAGTTTGTTGTTGTTGAGTTTGTTGTTGAGAACCGTTTGAGCCGGTTCTGACTCATAGCAACCGTATGCACAACAAAATGAAACACTGGCCAGTCCTGTGCCATCCTCATAATAGTTGTTACATTTGAGCCCATTGTTGCTGCCACTATGTCAATCCATTTCAATGTGGGTCTTCCTCTTTTTTTGGTGACCCTTCATTTTACCAAGCACAATGGCCTTCTCCAGGGACTGGTTCTTCCTGATACCATGTCCAAAACTAAGAGAGATGAAGTCTTGCCTTGCTGGCTTCTAAGGAGCATTCTGACTGTCCTTCCAACGCAGATTTGCTTGTTCTTCTGGCGGTCCATGGTATTTTTAATATTCTTCTCCAATACCATAATTCAAATCTATTGATTCTTCTATGGTCTTCCTTATTCACTGTCTAATTTTCAAATGCATATGAGGCAATGGAAAATATCATGGCTTGGGTCAGGTGAACCTTAGTCCTCAGACTGGTATCTTTGTTCTTGAACACTTTAAAGAGGTCTTGTGCAGCAGATTTGCCTAATACAGTGTGTTGTTTGAGTTCTTGGCTGCTGCTTCCTTAAATGTTGATTGTGGATCCAAGTAAAATGAAGTCTTTGGCAACTAAAATCTTTTCTCCATTTACATGGATGTTATTTATTGGTTCAGTGGTGAGGATTTTTATTTTCTTTACATTGAGGTGTGACCTATACTGAAGGCTGTGGTGGTGGTTATATGCTACTGAGTCAGTTCTGAGTCATAGTATAGTGACTCTGTATAGGGTTTCTGAGGCTGTAAATCTTTCTTCCTTGGAGACTTTCTAAAAGTCTCATCTTTCTCTCAAAGAGCAACAAGTAGATTTAAACTGCTGATCTTGCGGTTAGCACCCTAGCTCATAATCCACCATGCTACCACAGTTCCTGGTACAAGGGGGCGGGGGTGGGGGCAAGAGGGGAGGATTATCAAGAGGCCTGCAGACACTTCTGGGGTTGATATGTTCATTATCTTGATGATGGTGGTACTTTCCAGGACGTCTCCATATGTCACAGCTGATCAAACAGTACACGTTAGACATGTGCTGTTGTTCACATCAGTTATTCAAGGGTGCTTCAGTAAAGCTGCTATAGAAATGCAAGAGACCTAGTTACCTGGTACCATATGTAAATATTTCAAAAAAGTTCATGTAGAATCTGCCTGACTTCAAGATCTTGGTTTCTGTGGAGTTCCAGATAACACTGCAAACACCCCAACATAAGTGCCAAAAGAGATGTATAAACACAGAGAAGAGAGAACAATAACATTTATGTAGCAACCGCTATACTCCAAATAGTTTTGCCTGCAACTTCTTTTCACAGCAACCTTATGAGATCTATATCATTATTCCCATTTTACAGATTGGAAAAGTCAAGTCCAGAGTAATTACATAATTTACCCAAAATTACCTTACTGGCATTTGGCAGAGCAGAGATTAAAACCCATGGAGTTAAAACTCCAACGCCAATGTGCTTTCTACTGTAGAGCCATATTCCCGGAGCTCCTACACAGAATGCATACAGTTTTGGCTGTCCTCAAAGGCTTTATGGAGGAAGTAATGTTTGACATGGGCTCTAAAGGTTAGATAGGATATAAAGACCTCTTTAAAATGTTAAACACCTTGAGGACTAAGGTGCACTTGGCCCAAGTCATGGTATTTTCATTCATCCCATGTGAAAGCTGGACTGTGAATGAGAATTGATGCCTTACAATTTTGGTGTTGGTGAAGAATATTGAATATACCGTGGACTGACAGAATAAACTCATCGGTCTTAGAAGAAGTACAGCCAGAATGCTCCTTCGAAGGTAAGATGGTGAGACTTTGTCTCATGTACTTTGGACATATTATCAAGAGAGATCAGTCCTTGAAGATGGACATCATTCTTGGTAAAGTAGAGGGTCAGTGAAGAAGAGGAAGAGACTGAATGAGACGGATTGGCACCATAGTTGCAACAATGGGCTCAAAACACAGCAACAATTGTTAAGGATGACGCATGACCAGGCAGTATTTCATTCCGTTGGACATAGTATCTCTGAGTCAGAATTGACTTGATAGCAGCTAACAACAACAAAAATGGGTAGAGATGCAAGGTAAAGAATGTTTCCAGGCAGAAGGAACAGCATGACCAATGACCCATAGAGCTTATATGTAGAAAGTAGGCAATTCAGTTTAACTGGTGCATAAGGTGTGCCCAGAGTTCTGGTGTGGCACTGTAGGATGAGCAAAGGACCACAGGATTGGTTTGAAACACAGACCATGTGATCTGCAGTCCAGTGCTTATTGTATGGATCCACCATACACTCCCTAGATAGATAGATAGATAGATAGATAGATAGATAGATAGATAGATAGATAGATAATTTGGGACATGGGGATGGTATGCCATCGAGTCAGTTCCATGTCATAACGACCCAGCAGAGGGTTTCCAATGCTGTAAATCTTTATGGGAGCAGAAAGTCTCATCTTTCTCCCTTGGAACAGCTGGTAGTTTTGAACTGCTGACCTTGAGGTTAGCAGCCCAACTCATAAACACTATGCTACCAGAGCTTTTTGGGATATGGTAGTCATCGTCATTATCATAAGTCTTCATTATGAATTAGGAAGCAGTTCACTTTGTTCTTAATTAATTTGCTTTGAATTTAGAATAAAGGCTTTTTGTCTCAAATGAATGAAAGAAAAAAAAAACTGAAAAGAAGCAGGGAGGAAAGAGAAGAAAAGAAGGATTGGAAGAGAAGCAGAGTGGTGAGGGGAAATCTGGTCAAAGCCGGTCATGCTAAGGGTAAGCAGGATCCTGAGCCAAGGCAGAAGTAATGGGGCTGCAGAAAATAAGTGCTATTAGGCTAAGTTTAGGATTTTAATAGTTAGAACTTGGTGATTTATTGGTGCCTGGTCTCATGCAGAGACTGCTTTCAGCACCAGACCGATCTGAGATAGTAAGCTCTGAAGAGGCACTGCATTGGTGAGGGGAAAATTGATTCTGTTTTGGGTGAGCTTGAGATGTCTGTGGAAGGTCTGAACAGTGATGCCCTGCTTGTAGTAGTAAGAAAAAGGCAGAGTGTGATCTCAGGGAAGGGTGTGGAACTGTAAAATGGCAACTGTGCTCAGACACACTGGCTGTGATCTCAAGCAAACAGTGGAGGAGAGAGGAGGCGTTCTCACCTCACATCTCCTGCAGTAGAGTAAAAGTGACTATGTGCAGGACACTCCATTATAGTTTCACATCCATTAGCTCAACAGTTTTAAGTAGGTGCTCAGTAAATATTTATTGTAAGGAAGGAAGAAAAACAGAGACGTTTGGGTAAGTCTCCAAGATGATAGTTGCTGTTGTTAAGTGCCGTCAAGTTGGTTCCAACTCAGAGCAACCCTATATAGAGTTTCCAAGGAATGGCTGATGAGTTGGATATATCTTGGAAATGGTGAAGTAAGACGCAAGCCGCTATCTCTTACTCTAAATTTCATACTTTCCCAAATATCCCACTTGGGATGTAATGGGCAGTGTTGGTCATAGGGGACAGGAACAACACAGATCAGCCACCCTAAGTGCACAACCCTTCCCCTTCTGGACTTACGAGAGGCTTGTTGAACTATTTCACTATTTTTTCACACCACCTTGGAGCCCCAGGATGGATAGGGGGTGGCACAAACTCCTGTACAGCTTGTATGTGAGAAAGAGAACAGGAGACCAAACTCTGCCCACCCATCCTTCACCAACACCCGTCAACAAGAGTCCTCACCTGTTGAACTTTCAAGGGAAAGCAGACATTTTGGTTTTGGACAGAACATTGCTGGGACAATAGCATCTGAGGACCCTGAGGATAAGGTTCCTGCTCATGCACCTGTCATTTTGGATCTTCCAGAAGCCACCTAGAGCTCAGCAGTTTCCATTCTTCTTTACAGGATGGAGGGCAAAGCAGAATACATCCTCCCTACCGAGACAAGGTATGTTGGAGAGATGAAGGATGGCATGTTTCATGGTGAAGGAACCCTATACTTTCCCAGCGGGAGCCAATATGATGCCATTTGGAACAAGGGATTGGCTGTAAAGGTGATTAGCCCGGGCAGCTGCAGAGGAAAAAATCCTCATCAGGAAGAGCCCCCAGGGGTGGTGCCCTAGCCTACCTCTCCCCACTTCCTCTTTTCCCAGGGTTCTGGAGCCCTCCCCCCTTGAACCTTGTGACTTCAAGTACTATGACATCACCTTTCTAAGGCTCAGTTTCCACATCTATAAATTGGCCACAATAGTTCTGTGCACCTCCTAGGATGGTGTGAGAATGACTATGTGACACATACTAGGTACATTATTATTAAGTGTGAGCTCTTACTACTACTCCGTCACCTCTACTACTAGCATCATTGAATCTAAGGGTCTTAACCTGGGATTTGTGAGTCATGAGTGGAATTCAAGGAGCGAGTGAAGTAGCCTCACTGTACACAGAAGTTTCTGTGAATATATGACTGTTTTTCTCTGGGGAAAGAATGCGTTGCTTTCATAAGTTTCACTTGTTGTTAAGTGTTCGTGGAGTTGGTTCCAACTCATAGCGACCCCATATAGGTTTTCCTAGGAGTGCCTGGTAAGTTAGAACCACCAACCTTGCAGCTCAAACCAACCTTCCAGTCTAGTGCTTATCCCACACTGCCTACGAGTGTGTATAAGGGCTGGCTCGTGACCTTTAAAAGATTTTAAAGCCCTTGGTTTACATCTTGAAGAATTTAAGCCCTAAGAAGGATATGGGACTTACCCAAGATCACACAGTGAATGAATATTGTTTTTGGAATTCCCACCCGTTTCCTGATGCTCAGGCCAATTTCATTTCTTCCTTTAGCACAGTGGCAGCAATAGTAGAATGCAGTATATTTGGGTAAAGGGCCGTGGCTGATGGCTCTGACCTTGTATCTATAACAATAGCAGACGAATAACAACTCAACATTTACTGAGTGCTTACTATGTGCCAGGCAACGTGCTAAATGCTTAACATGCACTATGTCACTGACTTGTCAGTCAGCACTCTTACATATGTGCCATGATTGTCCTCATCTTACAAGTGATAAAGCTAAGGCCCAGAGAGAGTAAGCCATCCACCCAAGGTCACACAGTGAGTTGCACTATTTGGAGTGCCAGGCACAGATTTTGACACTTTATATCCATTCCTTGTAACCAGATTTTGACACTTTATATCCATTCCTTGTAACCAGATTTTGACACTTTATATCCATTCCTTGTAACCATTCCATCTGTAATAATAACAACAGTCACCACATCTTTTCCGCAGCACTGAGAAGGCCACCTCTTTCCCTGATGTCCCGTGGCGCCCTTCCTTCTTGACCAAAAGGCTTTGATTTCTTCAGATGCATGTGTGTGCTTCTTTGCTTCTTGTCTTCTAGGGCACCTATACCTTCTCAGATGGGTTGCAGTATGAATCTAAACACTGGCATTACTGTGACAGCTATGATCGGCGGTTTTTCACGGAGATCTGCCATGGCTTGAAGCCTGCAGGTACCCAGGCCTCCTTTCCTTCCTTCACAACCAGACTGAGAGGGAAATTAAAAACAATTTTAAGCCAGTGGGCCATGGCACACTGAAGTAACCCAAGGAAGAAGAGGACAGGAGCCGGTGTAATAGGATGCAAAGAGTCAGGTTCTAAAGACAAAAAAATCCAGGGTCAGATCCCAGCTCCTTGCTACTAGCTGGGGAACCAAGGGCAAGAGACTTTACCTTACTGTGCCTAAATTTTCTCACCTACAAAATGGGGAAATGGCATTGTTGTAAATAGAATAAGCCATTTAAAGTGTTTAGAACCATGCCTTTCGTACTGGTAAACACACGTTAAGTACCCAGTACATGTTTTCTTTTATTTATAGGAGTCCTGATATAAGCACTGAACCACAAGGTCGATTTGAACTGCAAGGTTGGCGGTTCAAACCTACCACCTGCTCTTCAGAAACTCTATACAGGGTTGCTATGATTCAGACCTGACTCAATGGCACAACAACAGCAACAACTCTAACACTGACATTGTGTAACTATCACAGAGAAAGAGGAGGGGGCAGGGAACCACTGAGGGGGCCTGTGTTCTGTGTATCAAGTGCTGGATGAGGTCTCTGTAAACCCTATCTCATCAAATCTGCAGATGACCCTGCCAGGTTGGCCTTCTTGGTCCCTTGTCATAGGTCCCAAAAGTGTTTCCCTGGGCAGAGCTCCCAGTGGGAGCCCAAGTCTTCCTCTCTGAAGCCTCTATATCACACTAGCTCCATAAACCCATGTCCATCTTGAAAGGTTACATTTGGGCCTAGGGTCTGCATGCAGAGTGGTCACCAAAGAGCCATGCCTATCTGTGAGGAAAGCTTCAAAAAGTTTGTGGGGAAATGGAATGAAAAGATACTGGAATTTCCTATGGGAATTTTGAAGCCCCTTCATCTGTCTAAGACTTGTGCAACATCATTTGAAGCTCAGTGAAAGCACAGTTCTCGCCACAGCAAGGTTAACATGCCCAAAATGACAGATGACTTTATCACCTGTAAAAAAATTCCCTACTTGAGTTATGAGCCATCATTTGTTGTAGTAGACAGAGCATGGAGTTGGTATTTCTGGGTTTGAACCTAGCATTCCCTCTCAATAGTTGGATGAGTCCAAGCAAGTTAAGTTTCACTAGAGCATAAAGCTTTAGAATTACATCAAGGCATTGGAGTCCGGCAGACCTGAGTTCAAATCCCAGCTCCACCCCTTCCTGGTGTGGTAACCAGGTCAGCCTTCTTTTCTCCCTTTGCTTTCCTGCCATTCCCCTCTCCCATTCTTCTCTTTGGCCAGCTCCTCCTCCCACTGGTTATTAATTTTGGGGTTCTCAGGGCTCTCAGTCTTAGGCCCTCTTCTGTTAACCCTTCCATACCCTCTTCACAAACAAGTTGATTCACATCCATTCAAGCATTCAACTACTATAAGCTTTTGCTTGAGATCTGAATTCCTGAGCCTCAGATTCCTTCATCTAGCTCCCCAACACCTGCATTTCATTGTCCCTCAACTCATCTGTAATGTGTGGACTGCTAACCACAAGGTTGTCAGTTCAAGCCCACCAGCCACTCCTCGGAAACTTTATACAGGGTCACTCTGAGTAGGACACTTAACAGCACTTAACAACAACAATGATTGTTACCTCAGTAAACATCACTCATCCACTTGAACTTGGCCCACCCTTCCCGGTTCCAGCATGTGGAATCAACCTCCCTCTTAAATGGATTCATTCATCTCTTCATTCAGCACATATGTATTGAGTTGTGTGCTGGGCAGTGTTCGCTTCATCCCCTCTGCCACTGCCCTCCCGATTCCAGACCTCTGTCATCTCCCTGCTGCATTACCTGTTCCGAGACCCACGTATGGCTTCCTCTGGTCCTTTCTCCATTCTGCAGTCACTTTTGTCTTTTCAAACTGCAAATATGATCGCCCCCCATCTCCTGCAGCCCTTTGATGCCTCCTTAATATCCTCGAGAGAAGGTTCCAACTTCTTAAAATGACTCACATTCCTTGGCTCCTGCTGGTGTCCCAGGCTCATCCTTCGATGCCTGCCCTTCACTGACTGTCTCACTCCTCTCTGACCCCAACTGTTTTCTCTCTGTTCCTCTAAAAGACTGGGCCCTTTTCTACCATTCCCCTTGCCCAGAACTCTGTAACCTTCTCACTCCACCCAAATAACTCCTTCCTGTCCTTCAGACTTCAGCTTAATGTCCTTTTTTCTAAGACCCCTTCCCTGAACTCCTAGGTCAGGTGAGGTCTCCCTGTGATATATCACTTGAGTACCCATGATTCTCCTCCAGTGCCCTGATCTTGAGAGGTTAGTATTGGCCTTTCCCAGGAGACCGTGGGCTCCATGATGGTAGGGATGATGTCTGTCTTACTCATCACTACATCCCTCGTGCTTAGCCCATTGCCTGACACATGGTTGTTGCTGTTGTTGCATGGCATAGTGTTGGCTTATCGCGACCCTGAGTAGGGTTTCCAAGGCTATAAATCTTTACAGGAGCAGAAAGCCTCATCTTTTCTTCCAGGGAGTGGCTAGTGGATTTGAACCTCTGACCTCTTGGTTAGCAGCCCAGTGCATAATCCACTGCACCACTAGGGCACATGGTGCTGGTGGTGGTTGTATGCCACTGAGTTAGTTCTGACTCATAGCAACCCTGTAAAGGGTTTCCGAGGCTATAAATCTTTATGGGAGCAGAAAGCCTCATTTTTCTCCCAGGGAGTGACGAGTGGATTTGAACTGCTGACCTTTCAGTTAGCAACCCAACATATAACCTAGTACTCCACCAGAACACATGGTAGATGCTCAATAAAAAGCTCTTGTCAAACAGGGATTAAGAAAAATATTGACATCACGGGGAGGGGGTGATGAGGAATGAATTTAGGGGAGTTTGGGCAATGATTCCTCTGTGTGAGACCCTGGGTAGGTTCTAGGGACCCAGAGCTAAGAGGGAAGGCTTCTCTGCCTTCAAATTGTTCCTTTTCCAAACTCAACAAGTTGGTAATGGGCTTCTCCTGGGTTAGCTGTGATGGGGCCTGGAGTTTCACAGGAGCTTTTCACCTAGTGGGATTTCTCCTCTCTTTCACCCCTACTGAGGCTTGCAGGTAAAGAACCCTTGGCCTCAGGCCCTGAGTTTTCACATGGCGCTGGCTTAGTCAGTCTCAAAGGCAGTGCAGCGGGCCTCCCTGCACCAGCCAGGCCCTTCCCCATCTCTTCCAGCAGCTCCCAGGAGGACAGCTGTAGCCTAAGTAGCCACTTCCTTCCCAAGTCAGTCAGCACTTTGCAGGCCTCTCCAATGGCCTCCTTCCCCTGAGTCCCACTTCCTCATAATGCAGGCCCAGTAAGCACAGCTCCCGTCTGCTGCCTGCAAGGCACAGTGACGGCTCAGCAACACTGAAGCTCTGAGATGAGTACTGGCATGAGACTTCAGTAAGAGAATGTGTATAAAACACTTGGCACAGACTAGCACTCATTATTAATCAACATTCAAGCAAATACTGTGTGCAGGACAGTGAGCTGTGGGCATGGTGCTGTATTCAGTGGGCATCCAGCCCTCCCTTTAGATAGCAACAGAAATGACGAGAACTACAAATGAGAAGGAATGTTGTTGTTGTTAGGTGCCATTTATTTAGTTCTGACTCATAGCAACACTATGACTCATAGCAACAGAATGAAATACTGCCCAGTGCTGTGCCATCCTTACAATCATTGTTACATTTGAACCCACTGCTACTGCCACTGTGCCAATCCATCTCCTAGAGGGTCTTCCTTTTAATTGTTGACCCTCCACTTTACCAAGCATGATGCCCTTCTCCAGGGATTGGTGCCTCCTGATAATGTGTCCAAAGTAGGAGAGATTAGGTCTTGCCATTCTGACTTCTAAGGAGTATTCTGGCTGTGCTTTTTCCAACACAGATTTCTTTGTTGTTCTGGCAGTCCACGGTACTTCTAATATTCTCCAACACTACAACTCAAATGTATGTATTCTACAGTCTTCCTTACTCACTGTCCAGCTTTCACATGCATGTGAGGCTATTGAAAATA